AGCAAAAAGCAATTTTAGCTGGAAAAGTAATACCAAAAAACAATAAAAATGCTGCAAATATGTAAACACAAATAACATATCGAAGATGATTTTACACATTATTAACCCATTAAATGGCCAGGGCCCACCCAAAGTTTTATTAACCCTTAAAGAACCATCTTTTTCAGAGCGATAGTGTAAAATCAATCAAAAATATGGCAATTTGGTGAAGTTGGCACACAGTAGATCTGCCTTGTATCTACAGGAAAAGTTAGCTAACAAGCAGGTAAAAAACAGAAAACTCTCTAGCCAGCTATCTTGCCCAACTATTAGTTGCCCCAAATTCATATCGTAGTTAGGTTGCCTGTTGATCCCTCAGAATTCTGAATAAAACTGCTTTTTAAATTTCAGTGGTTTCTGACTGACTTTGCTGAGCAGTCAAGGCAGCGCTGGGTTAGAGCCGCAGCAGCAGCACCTCCCGCCGGTCCTAGCGCTCTGCTAACTCAGTGTACTGTTTATACTTCGGAGATGTTGTGGCATGGCTGATTAATGAACGAGTCTATGAACTATTGATGATGTAACTGATAATGTGTATTTATTTAAAGGGCTAAAGAAGATTTGGGAGGGTTAAAGCCCCCTAAACCTCGACTAGCGACGCACCTGCAGTTTTCCTATGGCACGCACAGCCGCCAACCACTCTGGGGGCAGATTTTAATCACAAACATCACAAATGCATCACCGGCCGCTCGGTAGATAAGACGGGGTTAAGCGGTTCTGTGGAAAGCTAGAGGGAGAAACGCAGAGGACCGAGTCTGCATGCTCTCTGAAAGTAACTCGAGACGGGAAACGATGCCAATTTCATTTGTTTTCCATACTCAGAGAGAGAAAAAAAGCAGGTCTGGGCATTCTTCTGCCCTCTCGTCACCGACCGCAGATGAAGGGAGCGAGCCATGCCATTACACGAAAGGGCGGAAATGATTCTCTCGGAATAAACTCTGCATCATGTAACCTTTCACATGTGTGGACAATTAAAGTAACAGTTCGGAGAAAAATAATCCCAGTTGCAGAGTCGAGACATGCTGGGTTAAGTTTGCTTCTTTAGTTTTGTCCTGAAGCTACGCGGCTAATGTAGCTAACAAGTAGTATTTATACACCAACAATTAGCGAGGTGCTAACTGCTAACTGCGGTCTATGGTTATATATACTGTTACTATACACTATAAAAATCTGTTCATCAGTTCAACCTAAAAAAAAATACTGGTTTACTCAACTCGAATTACTTTGATTGAACGAATCATTCATTCAAAGTATTTACATCGGTCAGGCATAACATTCTGACCACCTCCTTGTTTCTATGCTCATTGTCCATTTTATCAGCTCCACTTACTATATAGGTGCACTTTGTAGTTCTACAGTTACAGACTGTAGTCCATCTGTTTCTCTGATACTTTGTTAGCCCCCTTTTACCCTGTTCTTCAGTGGTCAGGACCCCCATGGACCCTCACAGAGCAGGTACTATTTGGGTGGTGGATCATTCTCAGCACTGCAGTAACACTGAAGTGGTGGTGGTGTGTTAGTGTGTGTTGTGCTGGTGCGAGTGGATCAGACACAGCAGTGCTGCTGGAGTTTTTAAACACTGCGTCCACTCACTGTCCACTCTATTAGACATTCCTACCTCGTCAGTCCACCTTGTAGATGTAAAGTCAGAGACGATAGCTCATCTGCTGCTGCACAGTTTGTGTTGGTCATCCTCTAGTCCTTCATCAGTGGTCACAGGACGCTGCCCACAGGACGCTGTTGGCTGGATATTTTTGGTCGGTGGACTATTCTCAGTCCAGCAGCGACACTGAGGTGTTTAAAAACTCCAGCAGCACTGCTGTGTCTGATCCACTCGTACCAGCACAACACACACTAACACACCATCTCCATGTCAGTGTTACTGCAGTGCTGAGAATGATCCACTTCTTATTTGAAGTGCAATGAACTCAACATTTCAAGTTAACTGAAGTTAAAAAGTTACTGACTTTTTTAAGTTTAAAAGCTGCATAATTTTTAGTGCTTTTCTAGAATCTCAGTAAACAAAGTAGAATTTGCATATTTAACTCAGTTTCTCCAGCAGCTGGGCTCTTTCCATCATACACTCCCAAAAAAGATGGTTTTTCAAGGGTTCTAGTAAAGAACAAGATTCTCTATAGAACCATGAACACTCAAAGAACCCTGTGCATGATTATGGTTGTTTGAGTGTTCATGGTTCTATACAGAACCCTTTTCTTTAGTCAAAAAAATGAATATAACTTTTGACTCAACTAAGATGTGTTATGAAGACACCCTTCAAGTAAAGTGTTACCGAAATCAGGTTATTAGCAAAGCATCTCTTCTCTTTTGAATGAACGTATTTTTTGTGCAGAAAATAAACATAATGAACTAAACCAGACTAAAACTGAAACTAAGGAAGCACCAAACATGCCTTAGCTGAGTGACCACAAGGGCACAAACTCGCACAAACCTCAACGAGAACCTTTTAGCCATAACCCAGAGATCGGGCATGTTTGCTAAGCTTCCACGTAAGTTTCAGAACGTCAGTCTTGGTTCTTCCTTTGTTACTAATTGTGCCTGAAAAAAGCACCTTTGCAGTTGTGGAATTCCAGTTAAAAGGTTATAGAGTCGTTTCTGCAAACAATGCAGGACTTTAACTGCAGCCTGGAGAAGATCCAAATGTGGAGACCGGACTGGACTGGACGGTGTAGAAGGTGCGTTAGCTTTCACAAAAGCTGCAAGCTCAGCATAAACCTCAAAGACAGACTGTGCAGAGGGTACTCAGGGGTCTGATCTGCACTTCAACACGAAAGGTCAGTGATCCAAAGTCGAACCATGTGGCCGGGCTGAGAGGGGAGAGCCAGCCTGCATGTCTGGAGCTGCTCAACGTCATGTTTCACTTCACTTTTATGGGCGCTGATTTGAAGCAGGTGGCAGAAGTTGCCGAGGATGTGTCTTGGCACCAGACGGGCTTTGGGGGTGCTGTTGGTTGGAACTGATGGATGAGGGGTTTAAAAATTTAAACCGACGATTCTGTGGAGGAATGCCGTAAAAGAACCACTTTTGGTTCCTTGAAGAACCTTTCCATGTGCGCAAGTGGTTTCAGCTGAGCTCTGCAGGCTTTCGGGAGCCGAAAGGTTCTTCCATAGCATCGCTCCGAAGAACCTTATTGGTGCCTTTATTTTTAAGACTGTAGTGGAAGGTGGTACTCTCTTAAAAAAGACGGTTCTTCAAGGGTTCTTTAATACAGGCAGTTGTTCTATTTAGAACCACTGAGCCATTTCATTGCTTATGACATCCTTGCATGGTGAAGAACCAGCTATTTTGACAGAAAAGGGCCATCAGACTGACGTGCATAATAGCCAACCACTGTTCTCTGTAAAACTCAGAGATTCTGAGGTTTGAATAGAGGTAAAATTCTGCTTCTGTTCATCTAAACTAACAGTTTGCTTTGTCTTGATTCGTTTACCAGTTAAACCGCTTGTTACTGCACTCTAAAAGCAGATGTGTTAGACACAGCAGTGTGTTCAGTTACTTTTTACACACAATATGTTAAATCAGAAAACAATACAACACAAAAGAGTTAAAACGGGTAACACAAGCGTGTTGTTATTGAATACATCACTTTTTAGGGTGCACATGAAGTCAAGTTCTTGAATTGACACACCTTACAGTGCTGTTTCTGTGGGACATATAGGGGCAGGTGATTTTCAAAATGGGGCTACAACAAAAACACACCCAGGGGGAAACAACCTTCTCCAGCCAACAGCTTCAAAGAGAACTTCTGAATAAGTTCACAAACTGTTTAGAGTCCGGCAAATACATCGGTACCTCTGAACGGCTCACGGTGTCACGGTGCGCAGGACTGATAAAACCTGCTGCACAGAAGCGCTTCAGCCAATCAGAACACAACTGACAAAATCCTGATAGTACTGGCAAAATTAGCATTCAAAACATATCAGATGCTCTTTGCATATATGGGCGGAGCAACGAAGAGACTAATTAGTCAGCAACGACATAGAAAACTGACTTACACAGAGTGAGGAGTGGAAAATTATAACACGCTTATTACTGCTGATGACAACTTCGCCTTCTGGGCATCAAGAGTCAAAGAAGCTGAACGTTGCAGAAAATACAGGGTGATTCAAAAATATTAATCCGATTAATCCGCCTAGGAACCAATCACAATCCAATTGAAAGAGGGGGTCATAGAGTTTCTGACTGTCAGTGGAAGATGGCTCCCTTCAGTCTGAGAGGAGATGCGACCCCTGATCAGAAAGCGTTCTGCGTTCTCCACTTCAATAAGAGTGAATCCGTCATAACTGTGCAGTGTGATTTTGGTGGGCAGTGAAGCTCCAACAGCTCAGAGCGTTCGGCATTGGTTCCACAACACTGGATGATCTCCGAAATCGCACTGAAAGAGCCGTGAGTGCAGCGACACCCGACACGCTCAATCCAGTATGGGGATGAGTTTGACTATGGCGTTGATGTTGTCTGTACAGCTGGAGGAGGTTCAGACTGAGACCTTGTACAATTACATCATAAACTTTATGCTCATTTAAAGCATTTACAGTTTACTGCATTGATCTGTAATGATTTACAGGTGAAATAAATCATTTAGAAATTGGATTAATCTTTTTGAATCACCCTGTATTTCGTTGCTGTCCAAAGAAAAACAAGTATCTCCAAAACAGTAACTTTACAGGAGAAGGTAAGAATGTTCTTTACTTTTAATGTAAGTTAATGTAAGGGGATTTCATTCCAAGCCATTTTGGAGAATTTCTGTGGGTCCATTCATAATGAAATGGTCACACCATGTAAAGGGCAGCTGCCGTGTTTAAACGATGGAGAAAAATAAAAACAGCAAAAGTGGAGATGCATGTTTTTCTTCGAAACAGCGACGATATACAGATTACAGACGTATAGCAGCAGTAACTGGGAGATGCGTATGAGTCTCACTGCGAACAACAGGCCTGAATACTCACATGATCTCCTGGTTGTGGCCTCATAAGCGAAACTTGGTCATAACCACGACGAAACAGAGCCCAGATCGCATCCAGTTTACCCTGGACAGAAGAAGGAGGGCAGCAGAAAACAAACACTGAAAGCATTAGATATTATAGTCAGTAAATGCAATTATAGTCAACAGATGCAAAAATGAAACACTTCAGCAACATCAGTAAACAAAAATATCTAATAGAAAAATATTTAACATTAATATTTGAACATTTCTTAATATTCTGAAGCTATGTGAGATGATAAGCCGCGAAAGACAACGAATTTTGGTAACATTAAATAATAATAAGCCATAATAGACAGCAACTTAACAATCATCTAATAGTTTGTTAATAACTGCATAATATTTATATGTCTATATACATTAAAGCGTAGAAACCTAATTATTCATGGTTTGATAATTATTGTTGTTTGAAAATCAGCACTAAAACATTTTATAATTTGAAATTTTATTTACATTTAATTATTTAAAATTAGATTTAATTAAATTGTCTATGTTTTTATTATCTTGCTACTTTTTTGGTCAATGATTCAAATGGTAGTGCTTATTAATGATCAGATGATGATTAAGGTGCTATTTATAAGGGCCTGTTATTATACAGTAATAACAGTAAAAATGGTGAGTTTCAGAATTTGGGATTTTACCCTAATCGGGGAGTACCACTTCCTGTCCCGAGCGGGCTTCTTGTTTCCTTGTTTTTTGGGTTTGGGTTCGAAGGGTTCGTACTCCTGCTCAGGCATTTTCACCACCGCGTTTTTGGGCTTCTCCAGCTTGGCGCCTTCTTCAGTGGAACCTTTCCCGCCCCAGCGGACCTGAAGGCAGCAGACAAGAACAGATGTGGAGGAACGCTCTAAGCTCTGTTCTCGGCTCTGCGGCTGCTTCAGAAGAGTCTGATCTGCTGCTGGAGGTCTTCCAAACCTCGCAGACCTCCAGACTCATCCCTGATCATTTATGACATCTGAGTGATATCAGATGACAGATGGACGCTGGACAGTTTCTCATCAAAACCCCTCAAATCATGTAACAGCAACTTGTTTCTTGATTCCAGATGTAATCTGGTACAGTGGAACCATCTGGTACCATATAGTTGTACTGTTTAAATAAGCCAACTTAATTTACTATATTACTAAACAGCATACTCTATTTATTATTATTATTATTATTAGTAGTAGTGGTAGTAGTAGTAGACATACTATGATAGAAAAAATGTGTATTTACGAATGGTTTCTGGTATATGTATATATATATATATATATATATATATATATATATATATATATATATGTTACCAGAAACCATTCGTAAATACACATTTCTCTATTATATATGTGTATATATATATATATATATATATATATATATATATATATGTATATATATATATATGTAGAAGCCCCACCGCCCAGTGCAATATCCAGAGTCTATGCAAACTAAAAGGCACTTCGCCAATATCAGTATGATGCTAATCACTGTAAAATCAAACATTTTAACATGAAAACTGACCCATTTCTCCCAGAATGTATATTTACAGTATTTTTGTTACAATTTTTGTTGATTTTCTAAGTGTAAACAAGTTAACACAAAATATAACTCTCATAAATAAACAGTAATTGTGCATTAAAATGTGTTGTGCTCACTGTAGAGGATGTGTAAACTTATGTTCACTTAGAAAATTAATAAATACATGTAATCTGATCGGGGGTGCACAGACTTTTGCATCAGCCTGTATATCAGGTGTCACAGACAACCGTGTGACAAACGCCATGCAGACGATGGTGGTCCGGCAAAACGTCTTATGCTTAATGGACCTCACTGAAGCCTGATGGACATCACCGACTCTAGATCACCTCCACGCTCATACAGTCATTCTTCATTCACCTCCATTCGTTTTATCCCTCCGACTCCTCGTCCTCCGTAGTACGACGCATCCACAGTCGGCCACTTCTTCTTCGGCAGACCATCCTCGTCATCCGACTCCTGACAGAGGAAAAGATTTCACACAGCGATTAGGATGAAGGACACGAAACACCTGCTCTGAACTCTCTGGGAAAGCTGAAGCCAGAGCGGTTCTAACACACAGTATCAACAGTGTTTGTGGAGACAGCTGCAGTGTATGTTTCAGTTCTGAGCACAGAGTTTGGCGTTCTGTCAGATCATACGTGCTCATGGGAACTGCTAATGGTGATATGGCTCATATAGAACCATCCAAGCACACCATCATCACCATTAAATACATAGTCGTCAAATTCCCTCTGAGTGAAACTGTCCTCTCAGCCGCACAACACAAAGATGCTGTTTCAGAGCTGAGGCTTAAATCACACTGGAAAAATGTGCTTAACGATGGAAGATAAGCACCAGAGGCTGTATTACAGAAACCTCCTATTAGGATGCACTGATACTGTTCCTTTCAGGCCGAGTGTGAGTACATACTTTTTGGTACTCGTCGATGCCAAATCCAATACCATAACGAATTTCAAACCTCGAAAAAACAATAAATATTGGTAAAATTATAGAATTATAAGCCATAATAGACAGCAACTTAACATTTATCTAATAGTTTGCTAAGAATTGCGTAATATTTATGTCTATATACACTGAAGCGTAGAAACGTAATCATTATTTATTGTTTGATAATGACTGTTATTTGAAAATCAGCACTAAAACACTTTATAACTTTATACATTTAATTATTTAAAATTACATTAAATTGTCTATGTTTTTTACTATCTCGCTACTTTTTTGGTCAATAATTCAAATGGTAGTGCTTACTAATCCACAAATAACAATTACATAAGTTCTAACAATTATTAACAGATATTATCAGATGATGATTGTATTATAAAGTAATAACAGTAAAAATGGCGAGTTTCAGAATTTGGGATTACCTGCTTAGAATGAAGTAGCTGTTAGTGTAAATGAGTGCAAACAGTTTCTGATTTTAAATGAAGGTGGTTCGCTCGCTATGCTACAGTAGTGATCTCTGATCGAGCAGCGCTGCAGTGGAGGTTTAGTTCCCTGTCAGAAAAGCTCTTCTGTACAGCTGTAAGTAAAGTAGATTTCATAGTTTTGATCCTCATCTGTCTCTTTCAGCAGCAGCACAGCGACAGCAGGAATCACGCTGTTGGAGTCTTTTGATCGGCTGGTTGAGCTGTAGCTGAATGTCCTCTAAAGCCAGACAAACACTGTGATTTTAGAAATCTTATTTACTCACACTGCACGAAAACGCTCCATCTGACTGACCTGCTACGGGAAATGCAGCCTCTACAGACGCTCTGTCTACAGACCATTATCAATAAAGCTGATTCATTCAGAATAACCGAGTACTGAGCAAACATGCTGAGACACTGAACTACCGCAGCCCGGCTAACCACACTGTGCACTCGCCCTCGTTTTGTTGGCCTGAGTGTCTCCCCTCCTGCTGGGGAAGTGGTTGTGATTAGTGGTTGTGGTTGTGTTTGTGTGTTTAAAACAGGCTAAAATCTTATGGTGTATCCTGGTGGGAATCTACTGAGGCGGAACGTTTAAAGTGAGCGTTTATTACAGCAATACAGCGTGAATGGAGCCTTAATAAGCTCCGCCCACTGCCCTTCAATATTTATGCTATTTAGGATTTAAAATATTTTGCATTTTATTTGAGTTTAAGATTGTGTGAAAAATGGGACCTGACAGTCATATCAGTCAGTAAAACACTGTTTAATTATTGACCGTATTAAATGACATATTATTAAATGTGAATTTTTTTTTTTTAATTTTCATATCTGTGCGGCTTTAATTTGAATAAAAGAAAAATTATTTGTACACTCCTATAAAGATGGTTCTTCAAGGGTTCTTTAGTAAAGATAATGGTTTATTTAGGACCATGAACTCTCAAATAACCATTTTCATGCTTAAATGGTGCTTTGCATGGTGAAATAGTTCTTCAGATTGATGGAGAATATGTTGTATATGGTTCTATACAGCACCAAAAAGGTTCTTCTAATGTTACAAGCTTGACATTGTAACAACAGAAGAACCCTTTTATGATGCTATATAGAAACATTTTCAAAAAGGTGCTACATAAAACCATATACAACACATTCTCCATCAATCTGAAGAACCATTTCACCATGCAAAAGGCATGAAATGGTTCTATACAGAACTCATGGATTGAAGAACCATCTTTTTTAAGTGTGTAGGCTTTTCTAACATAGTATCCTGCATATGATCGATCTACAAATGGACAAAAGCAGTAAAAGGATGTGAATAAGACTCACTGGCTGTGGCGGCGGAGGAGGAGGCGGCTCTTTGATGACCTGCGGAGAGAAATTATGTATTAATTGTATGTACATATGTTAAAGGTAACACAAAGCCCAGCTGTATTCTGCTATTAACACATTAAACAACTAAATTTCTGTTCCAGAAGCAGATTTAACTGGTGAGGACTTTCCTAGAATCACTGTGAGGTACATTATGCGCTACATAGAGCTTCAGTTTTAACCACAGCGTTCAGTTCACAGTAATCAAGGCTGCACTGTGTTCATTCATTTGCATTGGAGTGACCAGATTTTCCACCTTAAACTGGCCAGCTCGAGTTCTTTTGGCAAGACCTGCTGCACTGACAGGATAATGATGGGAGCGTATCTTCAATTCAAGGACGTAAATGAGGCTTAGACTTACTACTGTGCAGCACAGCGGCCAGAACCACCACAGGAACAACAGGGCCAACAACAAGAACAGCACCAGCAGGGTAATCAGGAGGATGGTACCGTCAAACTGCCAGAGAAAAGAGAGAGAAACAAAGAGGTTCCACAGTGTGTTCTCATTATATACAGGACCTTCAACGGCTGAACAATTAACTGTTTCTGTACGGAAATCGCAATTTGAAACAGTGCAGTTTTAAAGGGCCCTTTCACCGAAAACTGAATTCTCCTCTTTTTGAAATAAAAGAATTTGATACAGCATGTAAATACTGAGAGTTCTGTAGGGCCAAAGTGCTGAATATATACAACATATATGATGACACTGACTGTATATATAATATATACACTCACTGACTGTATATATAAATGATATACACACTCATTGACTGTATATATGATACATATATATAGTCAATAAGTATGTATGATATATACACTTATGGGCTGTGTATATGATATATATAATATATACACTCACTGACCATATATAATATATATGATCTACGTACTTATTGACCATATGATATATCCACTCATTGAATATATATATATGATATATATGACATACACACTTATGGACTATATATAATATATGATATATACACTCACTGACCATATATGATATATATGGTATAAACACTCATTGACTGTATATACTATACATCTGATATATACACTCATTGACAGCATGACATATATGATGTATACACTCATTGACTACATATATGATATATACACTCACTGACTGTATATACTATACATGTGATATATACACTCACTGACTGTATACATGATATATACACTCACTGACTGTATATACTATGCATCTGATATATCCACTCATTGACCATATAAAATATATAATATATATATATATATATATGCACTTATTGACCGTATGAAATATACACTCATTGGATGGAACATGCAGACACTGTTGCTCTCACTGGACGTCGGTGATGAAAATTGGAAACTGTTCACTCTGTGGAAAACGTGATTTTCATGTTCAGGGTTTGCATTCAGGCTAATGTTACTGGATTACTCAAAGTAATCAGTCTGTTCTGATGAAGCTTATTTTGTCCACTTATTTAGATCTAACACAACAAACTGCTTTATAATGGAAAAATGGTTAAATTGTGCATTTAAATCCTATTAACTTTTTAACTGAACTGAATTACTGCACCATGTAAAGCAAATCTAAACGGCGATCTTTCAGGGGCTTCTAATGGGTACCAGAAAAGCCCCGTCCTAAAGCTGATAACTGTGTGAACGAGATGTTTCTCCTCAGCTGCTTTGTGGGTGAGAGTCCTGCTGCCTCGCGAGATCACAGCCAGAATCTGCGGGGGCTTTGGGCTGGATAAGCTCGAAAGCCCCTGCGGTTTGGCTGTAGTCGGAGCAAAGAAGAAAAAAAGAACTCACTGTGAGGGAAAGAGACCCCTCTGGCAAAACCCAGAGAAAGGAGGAGGGTCTGAAAGCAAAGAGAGCAAAGAGAGAAAAGTAGAAGAGTGGAAAAACAAGGAGTTAATGAGGAAAGAGAGGAAATCTGAAAGAGATCGCTAATGCACAAAGAAAGACAAAACAAGATAAACATTGCCTAACAATTCAAACAAGCTTGAAAAATTCTGGCTGATGTTGGATCAGTGAAAGTGCTACAGTCATTCCTCTACATCACAACTTTTCATTCCTGCATGATTAGATGGTAAAGACATAAACAGAGTGGTTCAGAGTGGTTTGGTGTGGTTCAGAGCGGTTCAGAGTGGTTTGGTGTGAAACGCTGTTCTAGATAAACTGTTCACAGTGGTGGTGATAGGAACCAGACGTCCACCTCTAAAAGCTCCCTCACAGAAAGTTCCTACATGAAATGGTTATGAATTCACTGCCTGATGTCTGAGACACTGAGTGCACTTACATGCACTAGGTAATCCAATCATAATCTGATTTCTTAGATCGGAGGAAGGTCTAGAAATCTTTATTATATCTCATTAATTTATTTTATCTCAGTAATCTCAGTTATCTCAGATTAGAGCTCAGTAATCAGATTTTTCAGTGCATGTAGATTCTTATTCAGATTTCTTTTGGATTTCTCAGTCTGCGCATGTGCGAAAACAGATGGCGGTACCAGAAATAAGTGAGCAGTGTTATTGCGAGATGCAGCAAAACAATTTTGGAGCGACGCTAAAACCGACTACATGATTGACAAAATGAAGGATTTAAATATTCTTCATCTTCTTAGAGAAATCTTACAGAAAATGTCCTCAAGTAAAGGTCCGGAACATCATAACGTCTAACTTGTATTATGATTCAGTGCCATATACTGTTTACTGAAGTAGCCTAGTAGGTATATCAACATCTTATACAGTCAACAACTGAATGTCAAATCAAATAAAGTACAGTTCAGTCATATTTCAGCAACATTTACTGTCAGTTTTCTCTTTTTAGAGCCATCATGTGAAATAATCTCCCTCTGATTCACTTTCTTCTCCGACTGCTGTTTCCTGCCTCGTCCCTCCCCTGTCTGTGCGTCACTCACTCGAGCCTCAGTGCTCATTGTAATGCACAGATCTGATTGGCTGAGTAGCGTCACGTGTGATATTTACAACACGTGTGATTGGTCTGTGAGTTTACTGGGCCGCTAAAGCTACTGTAAAGGCTAGAAAAGCTTCGCTGATTAAAATAGGACCACCCCATCAAAACTAAATAATTCTCTATAGTTTATCGGTTACAGGTCCAGGTCCGCATAGGACAGCGCCTGGGTCCGGCCTATTAGTGACCTCTGTTCTAGATGATGTATGTTCATAGTTTCATGCTTTAAAAAAAAGCTGTGGTGTGAAGTTTTATGTTATGTTTACGTCACGACGTCTTCTGTGAGTTTATTGGCTGGTTGCAAAGCAGAAATCTGATTACTGTCTGACTCATATAGACCCGGAGTTTCCCCATTATCTGATTACCCAAGTGCGTGTAAATGCTTTGATCGGATTACTGACAAAATCTGATCTTCTGCAGTTATCAGATTATTAAGATCATGTAAACGCACTCATTATTTTACAGCAGTTTTGAGAACGTGAAGAAATGTGAGTCTCTACAATCAACCACTTCACACCATCCCACTCTGAATCACTCTTGTCTCAGAAATCTTGAAAATTTGGTGGAGCTGCCCTTTAGAAACTGCCAGCAGTGCTGACGTAATGACTGTCCTCTGACTGTGCGGATGTTTACTCACACATTCGGTTGTGGTGATGTGTACCGAGCTGGTGATGAACGACAGACCTTCATTCATGCTCACCTGCAGGTAAACCACCCTGAAGGAGACAGAAAAGACGTTCCGTTATTTTTCACTCGGGTTCTGAAACTGTTAACACTTTAGAGCAGAACCAGTTTTACACAACGTTCCCACCGAAATACAGTCGAGCAGACAGGAACAAAACACTGTCATTTCCGCTACACTATTCAAATGTAATTCTGTCATTGCATGTTTAACTACACTCTTAAAAAAGATTCATCAAGGGTTCTTTAATCAGGAAAATGGTTCTATACAGTTTCTAACACTCAAAGAACCCTTTGCATGAGTTAAGGCTTCTTCGCCTTGGTTCTTCAGATCGATGGAGAATGTGCTACTTTTTGAAAAGGGTTCTACATAGCACCAAAAAGGGTTCCACTAATTTTAGCCACACAACCCTTTTTTGGTACGACACAGAACCCTTTTTGCTAATAGTGTGCATTTACGTTCTGTATCGTCAGGTTCTCAAATTCGTACTGTTTGTTTTGACAACAAGAAACAAGAAAAACATGGAAAAAATGTAAAGGGTGATTTTTCCTCAGAAGCCTCTGTCTGTCCAGGCAGCGATAACCTTCGACCATTCAAATCATAATGAAATATCTCCTCTTCCGCTTACAAACACAAACATGGTCTGAACTGAAAGTTTACAATCTGCACTTTACACACAACGTCTTCACTTCCGTCAAAGAGATACGTGCAATAAATAAATATAACCAAACTGCACAAAGATTTTGCTGGCAGTGGACAATGAGCCAGTTTCTGGACAACAGTGTATCATACAGTGTCAGAAACCACTTAATCGAGTCTATTAGAGATACTGAATAACACAGTTTGACAACTGAGGCATGCAGTTAGCATCATGCTAACTGCTGGGATACAGACCAAATCAGGATGTTTGTAAACATAACTGTTCCGGGTGGATAATTTGCATCAGTCAGTGTGAAAACAGGTCAATTTATGGCACAATTTACAATAATTTCAAATATAACACACAAGACATTGTCAATGACTGTGACGTCAAATGTATAACATATATATATATATATGTATATATACTTACATTTGACTTTACAGCCTCAAACACAACAAGATGTATATACACAGTTTCCAACTTTCTAAAGCAGGAGGGTGTAAGCAGCATTTCTCAGTTAGCCAGATAACTTAAGCCCAAAGATAGGGACTGTCCAATGGGAATGTCCCTCAGCACTTTTCCTATTGGACAGACATGACTTTGGGCTTAAGTTATCTAGCTAAACTGAGAAATCTTGCTCTGTGGAACACCCCTCAGGTATTGTAGCACCGGTCTCACTGAGGGGTGATAATGCAGCTGAAATCAACAACAATTTAGTAAATTCTTTACTCTTCCAGGTGAAGCTGCCAAACACTAAACCATCACCAGTAAGAGCTCCAGCAGCTCGATCACTATTTTTACAATCACTACTTTGTAGAGACATAAGGTGATGCAAACTATAAGAAGCTAATGGTATTAGCATTCATGCTATTGGCCACGGAGTAATATTTTACAGTATATCATCATAGATCATATAGTGAAAGTGATTTATATAGTATTTTATAGTGTATTGTTTCATATCATGCCCTACAATGGACTGGTGACCTGTCTAGGGTGTATCCTGCCTTCCGCCCAATGACAGCTGAGACTGGCTCCAGCCCCCCCCCCGCGACCCAGTAGGATAAGCGGTTTAGAAAATGACCAGAAAGACCATTAAACTGTTAATCGTGGTTGTTATGAACAGTTACAGTTCTCTCGAGCAGAACTAGAACTAGAAACGTAAGCTCTGACGGTTCATATTAGTGTCAGTCGTTGTCTTCAAATGTGCAAATACAGAGTGTTTCTTTATTAAACTCTGCATTGAAATCTGTGGCTGCATAATTATGACAAAAACGAATCATAAAAAGTTACTGACCTCTGAAGATCAGATAAAAAAAGCTTTCAATTTTTCCAACATCTTCAGGATTCGTACAAAATCCTGTTGTACCAGTGAAGCTCAGCTCTGTGCTGAGGCTGACTTGTCCTATAAGCTTCCATTACTTGTTAGCTACATTAGCCTCGTAGCTTCAGTGCTAAAACTAAAGACACCAAAACGCGTCTTGGCTGATGGACCAAATTTGGGGTGAAGTGGGGAAACTGGGCAGACTGACTTTTGTAATCGCTTTGAGAAAATCCGATCTAACCTAACATCCAATGCTGACACACCAACTGAGACCCGGCTGAGTCCTCTACACTTCCAGAAGTCTGTCAACTCCAGAGTTTCCTCTGAAATGAAGGTGTTAATAGTGAGTCTGTGCTGCAGTAACAGCCTCTACTCTTCTGGGAAGGCTCTAGATGTTCAACATTGCTGTGAGGATTTGATGGAGCATTAGTGAGGTCAGGTACTGATGTTGGATGGTCAGTTCTGGGTCACTCCAACTCATCTCAAAGGTATTGGATGGAGGTCCATCACTCCAGAGAACACAGTTCCACTGCTCCACAGCCCAATGCTTGGGGGCTTTATACCCTCTAGCCCACGCTTGGCACTGGACATGGAGATCTTAGTATCATGTGCAGCTGATTCAGAGTGTCCCATTCTATGGTCAGCGATTTTCATCTGAAAGTAGCTGAGTTCTCTCATTAGAAGGGACAATTTGACAAAGTGTGTTTGTAGGTTTTGAGCATGTTCAGCAGAACCACAGCATGTTTTTCAGTCGAGGGCAGAAAGAAGCATCAAAAGCTGCTCAGTAGACGTGAAAGAAGAGTAAAGCCAGAGAGGAAGTGTTGGTGATTTAACATCTGTAAAGTCAGTAAGATAAAAGGAAGAGGCCAGGCACCAGCAGGCTTTGATCAGAGAGAGAGAGAAAGAGAGAGCGGAGAGACAGAGAGAGAGAGACAGAGAGAGAGAGAGAGAGAGAGAGTGAGAGAGAGAGTGAGAGAGGGGTATGAGATGATGAAACAGGCGGCAACACTGAGGCACGAGTTATTTTGACCACTGAAGACAACACTGCTCATGTGCGTATGAAAAAAAGACATTAAGACGGTGGGCTGATCAGAGTAAGGCACTCTTAAAGAGGGTTCTTTAGTAAAGAAAACAGTTCTATACAGAACCATGAACGCTCAAAGAACAACTTGCATGATTACCTTTGCATTGTGAAATGGTTCTTCAGCTTGATGGAGAATATGCTGCAGATGGCTCTATTTAGAACCGCTTTGAAAAGGGTTCTATATAGCACCAAAAAAGGTTCTTCTATTATAAAGACGTCAAGCTTGTAACAATAGGAGAACCCTTTTTGGTGCTATAGAACCATTTATAAAAAGGTTTGTTATAAAATCATAGAAAACATATTCTCCATCAGTCTAAAGAGCCAATTTACAATGCAAAGAAACCTCTGATCAAGCAAACGGTTCTTTAAGTGTTCACAGTTCTCTCTCTCATATATATATATATATATATATATATATATATATATATATATATATATATGTATATATACATATATGCTTTATGATGTCAAGCTTGTAACAATAGCAGAACCCTTTTTGGTGCTATATAGAACCATTTTCAAAAAGGTTTTTTTACAGAACTATATACAGCACATTCTCCATCACTCTGAAGAACCATTTTATGATGCAAAGAACCCTTTAATCATGCTAAGGGTTTTTATTGTTCATGGTTCTATATAGAACCATTTTCTTTACTAAAGAACCCTTGAAGAACCATCTTTTTTAAGAGTGCAGATAGAATATCCATGCTGCGTTTAACCCTGTGCTAGTCTGGACCCTGTAATGCTGCAGATATGAGGCTGTAAAACGAGGCGTTTTCCACTAAAACATCACTGACTGTCTGATTTTAAACACCACCGAGAATAAAAGTCACTAAAGGGTCAGAAAGGTCCTCGTTTTGGAAATGAAGGCTGAAAACTGAGCTCCAGTGTGTGTGAACGGTCTGGGGGGCTCAGTGGAATGTGACCCCTGACAGACACTGTAAGTGTTGACTAACGTGAGGCAGGTTTCTTCTTCCTGCTCTAGAACGGAGCCACTTACTTTCCAACCTCATCAATGACCGGCGCTGGACACAGCAGGTACGTGTCCTCTATACCGTCCGGCTTCACATCTGGAGATGAAAAGCAGGACATGAGACATGAGACATTCAATACAGCATGTTTATATTCTACTGATACATGTCTAATTTATTAACCTTTATATAAATACCAACCTTTATTTTTATTACACTGAAAGTAATATTTACTTAAAGTGATATTAGCATGAATTAATAAAGACAAATCAAGGCTATAGTCCAGGATAAAAGTGCCAATGCAGCAGAAATGTATAATAAAATGTATTTTATTGATATATCTATTAATTTATTAACCTATCAACCTCTTAATCAAGCTCATCTCCAGTTTAATATTAATAATTAATAGTGCAGAACAGTTTCAATAATTTTAATCAATATATTTATTAATTTATTAATCAACAAAGTTTCTTATACTCATAACTAACATTATATTGCTATTATGAATTACCATAAAATGGTCCATAAAATTGCCAGAGCAATGTTTTTTTTACTATATTTTACTGATGAATTTTATTAGCATACACTTATTATTATTTCTTATAACAATAATAGTGATAATAATAATTGACTTCATTTTATTCTCATAAAATTTTGATTTATTATACAAATACAATCATTTACACTGTAATAAGAATAACATTACTATTATTACGTTAACAATATACTGGCTGTTTATGTTGTTCCTCATATCCATTTTAATTAACTGCATTTTATAATCAGTATTTTTACTGCTAGCATGGATTAATAAAGTCAAGCATGTTAATAATTCTTATGAAATGAGTGTACGAACGGTTTAGTGAGGAATGAAACTCACTTAATGTGACCGTATCGTTGATCTTGAAGCTGCACATCACCTGATCTATTTTCCTGGCGTGCAAGAAGCCGTTTCCTCTGACCACCACTTGGAACGACTCTGAAACGGGAATTCACTCCTCTGTTATGACAGAGTTCAGTTTTCAAAGGCAGTTTATTACATTTGCTTTTTATTAACCACTGTTTTCTGACAGCCTCATGATTTTAGCCATTCACGTCGGCTTCCATGCTAAAACAATCAGCGCTCTGGTGGACAAAGTGGAGCTGAAACCACAGCGATCTGACGCTCCTCTTGGGAAAATGCATCTTCCAGGCTTCTCCTGCTGAGTTCCCACAGAATCATTCACATAAAGGCCGGAGCTGGTGCTCTACAAACGGGCTCTGCGCCGTAAATCTTTAGAGTCATTACGTTAAATGGCTCTTACTGCATGGAGAGCCGATCACTTTCACTCCAAGCTAAAAACTCCCACGAGACCAGGTTCTACAGCCCAGCTGCGGGACGAGAGGAGCTCTAATGAAATGAGCTCAGCTCTTAGCAAATGAGAACAGATCAGGTATTGATCTGGACGTTTGCCCTCTGCCCTTTGGCCTCACCTCCTGCGCACACGCTGGACGGTTCGGCTGCCAGGATCTCGATGCAGGACTTCTTGATGATCTGCAGGTTAGAAAGGCGAAAGTCAGCACAACAGGAAACTCTAAAGCCTCGCCTGATGATGTCACATGAACATTTTAAACTCTTAGGCCCAGTCCCATTTCACCCCCCGCCCCTACCACTCAGCCCTACCCCTCTGTTGTGCACATTCACGTCTAGGGGTAGGGTGTCCTGATTCTTGTTGAGATAGAGGGGTGGGGTGAAGCACTCGGGTTACATGACCCTCCAATTACTACTGAGTGCTGATTGGTTAGCTTTACTGCTACTGAGTGCTGATTGGTCTGCATTACTGCTACTGAGTGCTTACTGGTTAGCATTACTGCTACTGAGTGTTGATTGGTTAGCATTACTGCTACTGAGCGCTGACTAGTCAGCATTACTGCTACTGAGTGCTTATTGGTTAGCATTACTGCTACTGAGTGCTGATTGGTTAGCATTACTGCTACTGAGCGCTGACTAGTCAGCATTACTGCTACTGAGTGCTGATTGGTTAGCATTACTGCTACTGAGTGCTTATTGGTTAGCATTACTGCTACTGAGTGCTTATTGGTTAGCATTACTGCTACTGAGTGCTTATTGGTTAGCATTACTGCTACTGAGCGCTGACTAGTCAGCATTACTGCTACTGAGTGCTTATTGGTTAGCATTACTGCTACTGAGCGCTGACTAGTCAGCATTACTGCTACTGAGTGCTTATTGGTTAGCATTACTGCTACTGAGCGCTGACTAGTCAGCATTACTGCTACTGAGAGCCTGCACAGCTAACTAGGCTAACTATTCTAGCGGATGTAAGCGAAACAGTGAAAAAATCTATTCAACGTTTTCTTGTCGTTATACACCATAGAGAAAAGGCCTCCTGTAGAAGACGATGAGTCTCCTTTGTTGTACTGGTTTGCTGTAGTGTTAGCGTAAGCTCACCTGAAGGGTCTGTTACTCATCCAAATCTGAGTTCTGGGTTACAGAACACGTTTAGGGTTAGGAAAGTGTTAAGATGATATTAAAGAGCTCGCTAAACGCGATTTGACAGTATAGGTTGTCTACAATTCGTCTAAATGTACTTTTTTAGGAAGAATGCAATTGGCCAGTGTCTGAGTCTACCAACAGTACTATCGGTAGTGATGACGTACTGTCATATTGTCCAGCCCTAGCTGAATGCAAGTTAATGGCAAGCACCTGCAGTGGACCACTGAAAAACAGCGCTCCCAGCTATTCGACTGCAGTGATTTAAACGTCTTACTGACAATGCCTGTGCTTCCAGCTAGCTTCCATTTCATCTGTGTTTTATTAAGTGAGGATCTTTGTTTACCGAGTCAATCACTCCTCTAAGGGCTTGGAATCCTCCCGTCACAGGAAACACGTGCTCTATGGTGTCAGCTATGGTAGCCAGCTACAGAAAGAAAAACACAGATATTTATTTACACTGGATTTCAGCTTCCCATTAGTTTCACTGAGCCGCTACAGACACAAGAAGCACAAAGTACAATTCTTTTATGCCCAAACTTGGAAATGTGGGACCCAAGAGACGAAATTCAATACAGTTTACGATTAGAAAGAGCCGCTGAAACGTCCAGAAGTCTGTCAACTCCAGGGTTTGTTCTGAAATGAAGGTGTTAATAGTGAGTCTGTGCTGCAGTAACTGCCTCTACTCTTCTGGAAAGACTCTAGATGTTGGAATATTGCTGTGAGGATTTGATTGAGCATTAGTGAGGTCAGGTACTGATGTTGGATGGTCAGTTCTGGATCAGTCCAACGCATCCCAAAGGGTGATGGAGGTCCATCACTCCAGAGAACACAGTTCCACTGCTCCACAGCCCCAATACTCTCTAGCCCACGCTCAGTGCTTTTCTATGGAGAGTAGAGAGGCTGTGCACGGTTGAACTGACCTTAAAGTAGCTGATTTAATTCATTAAAAGGACTGTCTGGATACTTTTGGACACTTTTGACAATTTACAGTCAGAGATAACCAGTAAAAATGTCACTGCCATCTTCAGAGCCACAACCATCACAGCGATCAGCTTCGTCTCACCTGCGTCTCGTTGAAATCTTTGACTCCAACGCAATACACAATGGCACCTAACGCTCTGGCTCTGGCAGCCTGGTTGGAAAAATGCAAAGTATGTCAAAGACTTTCCAACACAGCACTGCAAAATCAAGAGACCACCCTTCATTTGTTTAATTCCAGTCAAAACAGCCATCAAAGGGGAACTCCACCAATTTTTCACCAGAATTTCTGCATAATTAACTGGTTAAGATGTAAACAGAGTGGTTCAGAGTGGTTTGGTTTCTAGAGAAACTTACCGAGTCAGAACTGTTCACAGTGGTGGTGATAGGAACCAGACGTCCACCTCTAAAAGCTCCCTCACAGAAAGTTCCTACATGAAATGGTTATGAATTCACTGCCTGATGACTGAGACACTGTTTTATGATAGTTTTGGTCTAAAAAGGCTGTGTTAATCCATTTGTGGTGGAGGGATACATGCAGGGTGTTGTGAGGCAAAAAGTCCCCAAAGAAAACTTATTTTTTTAAGGGTTTTCCACTGAAATATGAGTACCTTGTACTTCATGGCTGTTTTGACTGGAAATTAAGCAAATGATGGGTGGTCTTTGACTTTTGTACAGTACAGTAAACAGCATGTGGAAAAACATAAGTGTAAAAACAAGCGATGAAAGTCAGTGATGTAACCTCTCGTTGTGCTGCATCCAGCTGGTGCTCGTTGAGTTCCCCATCTGTCAGTGCAATGATAACACTTGCTTTGCCTGAAAAGTAGAAGTTAAATGATGTTATTATTTACTGAAATCAGCTCAAATCTTCTGCTGTGCCTGAAAAATCAAAGAAGAGTCATAAGAGTTCTTGGTAACACTTTATCTGAACGTAATAAGTTCAACAAGATGCCAAACTTCTCAATGGTTTTTTAATAAGACTCACCAAAATTTTCCTGATGAATTTGTTCATTTGCCTGTAAATGACAATAACACGATTAACACAAAGAACCAAAACCCTCTTCAAAACGTTCTGTAACAGGATTAGCAAAGTTACCTCTTTCAGGCCAAGGTGCATAAACGTGTCTCCTCCTGGAATCTCCCTTCTTAGGACATTCAGGCCTTTTGTAATGCGGTCCCTAAAAACAAAGACCAAAAATGATCAAGGGAATTTCTAACATCTCACAAGGTCTAACAGACCTACTGCACAACCACCAACAGCGATCTGTACTTAATTAACTGCAAAAGGCCACAATTAATAAATTCCATTAGTAAAGCATATGGAATTTAGTACTTCTAGTTAACAGCAGGGAATTTTACAGATGTTCCAAAATGTCTGCATAATTAAGCAGGGAAGATGTAAACAGAGCGGTTCAGAGTGGTTCAGGGTGGTTCAGAGTGGTTTGGTGTGAAACGCTCTGTTCTAGAGAAACTTACCGAGTCAGAACTGTTCACAGTGGTGGTGATAGGAACCAGACGTCCACCTCTAAAAGCTCCCTCACAGAAAGTTACTACATGAAATGGTTATGAATTCACTGCCCACCAGAAAAATACCCAACCCCCCAAAAAATTACATCCATGGTCTAAAAACATTTTATTAAAGGGTCCATTTCACAGAGTTTGACGTTTTATGTAAATATACTGCATATATATGAAAACTAAGCTGCAAAAAACAAAAAAAACAACTAATTTACATATATCTACCAATTTAGCCAATGCCAGTTTAGCTCCGCCTATGCATTTAATGGGCCCTTTAAAGGGCACGTCATGGAAATTTAAAATTTCCTCACTTTTCCTCACTTTCTTCTAAACAAAAGCGACTTATAAAGCATGTAAACACTGTTAAAAGTTTCCAAATGTATGATTCACACAGTCTAGACAGTCTATCCACATAAACTAAGCTACAAAAATGATCTGCGTTTTTGTGATGTCACAAAACCCAGACATTTACATGTATATCCCGCCTATTCACCTGATCCGGACCCACTGACAGTGAAGTTATAGAAGTGTTTCAGCCTGGACTGCTTTGTGAATGAGGCACAGCCAATCAGATCAGAGCTCATTTACATATATCAGTCTTAAACGCACAGTAACACAAACAGTCACGACCCCTGGTTCCTATCACCACCACTGTGAAGACATCAGAACCATTTCACACCAAACCACTCTGAATCACTCTGTTTACGTCTCACACACTGCTGTGAGCAGCAATGTGAGCGCACTAACCAGTTTCAGCTTTTCCTGTTGTTTTATAAACTATAACTGGTCACCAGTGTTGAATGCAAACTGAGCAGAGGTGTTCTGGCTCTGTATATAAGATGAAACATACTAAAACGTTTTAAAAGCATGTCCACTACTATCACAATCCCTCATGAATATGCCCAAGAAGCAAAGCACGTTGAGGAATCAGGATGTTTCCTACAGGAGCTGATCTGCTCCTGGCTGTGGACAGATTGTAGTTCATGTTCACTACAGAGCTTCCCTATAAGACCAGAGCTTCAGTAAATCACACCCCATGTACCCACCATACCTATCTTCAGTCAGCCTCATTATTGTGTTCCCCCGAGACGAGAACACGATGAAGGACATCCGTAACAGCGGGCTGCAGGACACAACAAACACAGCACAGGTGGACTTAGACACAACAGAGCTAGCGTTAATAACAAGTGAACCACATCATGTTGACCTGTGTAGCACATCTAACAGAAAAACATCACACGGCATACGGGTGAAGACATTAGCATAACACTGTACTGTACAACACTTTACAAGACAAGATACACATCACAAAGTTTCACTTCTGTGAGCTTTGATGCGTTGACCCAGTAATGATGAGACTGGAGTCGTATCAGCAGATAAAAGAAAGATTGACATCGGGCAGATGTTTAGATTTGACTGGTATTTCAAACTGATATGAGATGATGTGTTCATTCTCCAAAAGAGCATTAAAATATCTGCGTTTTATTCATCTTACTGCATTTGTAACCTATGCATTTTGTATATATATATATATATATATATATATATATATATATAGCTGCTGTCAGAAGAAAGGCTTTACTAACTTTCAACAAAATTTTAAAATATCTGTTGTCCTTTACATTGTGTGTAAATTTGATGATGAATGGACCAAAAGAAACGACCCAAAATTACTTGGAAAAAAGTCTGGTTCCACTGACTTACATTAAAAGTAAAGTATGTTTTTCCTTCTCCTGTAAAGTTACCATTTTGGAGATACGAGGTTTTGCTCGCACAACAGCAATGTGTATAGATTTATCCAGTTTTCTCCAAAGTCTTTTTGGGTTTCTTTTGGTCCACATATATATATATATATATTATATATATATATATATATATATATATATGTGTGATATTTTCCCTTTGAAGTCTTTAAATGTTGTAGTTTTGTGTGTAAATTTGCAGACAGTCTTTTACAGAAAGAAGAGTCAGTATTGATGGACTCAGCACTGACGGCTTCACACAGCTGAAAAACACTGCTGAGCTAGTTTGAGTTTAATATCAGACCAAATATTCTCTACAGGGTTTAAATCTGGACTCTGACCAGCCAGAACCAGCAGAAACATTATATTTTTTGCATGTAAGTGTATATGTTATACATAAAGTATCAGGCAACAGCATCGGCCCACAATACCCACATCTGTGCATCCTTAATGATAACACCACACGTAAAAATATGAACTGCAAAAACGAAAACTTGGTAAGTGAAACTGTCCTAAAGGTAGAATAATATCTCCTCCACTGGCAGCTAATCTAGCTTGTTTAAAGTAAATGATCTGCCAATAGGATAAGACAATATGACCAGATAAAAATAATACAAATATACTGTAATATTCTGACAACAATCTCATAATGAGAAAAATCTAATACTTAGGCTACGTTTAAGATATACAGTGGTGTCCAAAAGTCTGAGGACACACTGAAAATCTGGGCTTATTTTACATTTAAACCTGGAAACAAACAACAGAAAGTTATGACCAGAAGAAATATTGAAGATTCTGAACTATTTGTGGGTCAAATTTGAGTCTGTTTGTGACATTGACCATGATAAGGATTCTGTACCATAACTTTCGCACAGGCCACATTTTATGTTTTTGTCCCGCCAACATGTTAAATTCAGTAAATAAACAGTAATTGTGTTTTAAAATGTGCAGAAGTCTCCGTAGAGGACGTCTTCACTTATTTTCTGTTAGAACATCAACACAATCATGTAATTTGACCAAAACGTTTCCATATACAGCTTGTATATACAGTGTTCAGCGTACTGTGATGTAATAGCAATAACTACAGTCATATTTCACACATTTAACACTTCAGACAAAAAATCTGGAAGGTATTTTTTTGTACCTGATAAATTTCTCTGCCAAACTCTCAACAAAGGAGTAGATCTCATGCCAGTGGTGCTTCACGCTTCCAGACCTGAGGAGAAAAACGGAGAGAGAAATCGTAAATGTGAGTGTGTGAGTTTGCAAACTACAGCAGCAACTGATATTCTCAAATCATGCGAATTAGACAGCTCAATTCAGATCAATCAATTTGTAAAATCTGCACATTATAAAGGAACACCCTCAATTAATGTACAATGAATGAATGAATGAATGAATGAATGAACGAACGAATCAATCAATCAATCAATCAATCAATCAATCATCATCCATTCATCCATCCATCCATCCATCCATCAATCAATCAGCCTTCATTGTCACTGGGAAATACATTGAGGAGGACCCTCATTTTCAATACAGCCGATCATTTAAAGGGCAAAGAGAAAAGAAATCAAAATGGAATTTAATCAGTTTAAACTAAAATGAACAGATCTACATGAACAGATTAAGAGTAAAAACAAACAAAATCAAACAAGATAAAAGGAAAAAAAATTAAGAGCACAATTACGATTTAAATAAGAAGGGGAACAATTAAATAAATTGATTTAAATGAATACATTTCAGCAAAAAAGGACAAATAATGCAAACAAAAATTTGAAACTATCAAGTTAAATGATTAATAAGTAGTTAAATAAAAACAGTAATAGAATGAAGATCAAATAAAGAAATTAAGATTTTAATCAGCCAAATAAAATGAAATTAAATACAATTGAAATACAATGAAAAACTGGAAAAATAATAAAATTAAACAAAAAGAAGGAAGGAAAAAATTTTAACTCGACTAAAACAGTTCCAGGCTGTCTGACAGTGGTTAGAAAGGACTGAGTGACACCAGCGAGCGAGTTTAGAGACTCCTGTGGTGAACTCAGCTGTGCTGAAGTCCAGCTCACTGCTGCACCACAGCTACGAGGAAAGAAGCAGAAGGAATAAATGGGCCGCTGTTTTTGCCCCGCTCTGCTCTGTGACCCCGAGGCAGGGCAGTAAAAAGTGTATGTGGGCTGAACGTCTCCTGCCCCCACACTGAGAGAGCCACTGGTGATTCATTAGCATTAGCTGACAAACAGGAAGTGATCTAACTGAGTCTCCATCCGCGGCCGAGTCCGTCTAACTTCAGTAAAAACTGAGAAACAGGCACTAAAGCGGATCTTCGCTGACGTAACAGGGTTTAGTCAGAGCTCCAGACATAACGTTAATAACGCCAGACATAACGTTAACCGCAGCTCACAGTCTTCCTCTCTGACAGACATCACAGACCTAAGGGAACTTCAAAGGGACAGTTCACCAAACATCAAAATTGACCCAGTGTCCTCTCCTGCCAACAATGTAGTTGGTCAGTCAGGTCTGACGTTTACTTCTTTAGTTTTAGCACTAGAGCTACAAGGCTAATGTAGTTAGTAAGGGAATCGCACACTCCAAGTAGCACACTGCTAACTGCACACCTAAATCATCACACGTTTGGCTCAAACTGTTTAGTTTGATGGTTTAGCTTTGTACTGTAGCTATGAGGATAAACTATCTAACAAGCAGACAATAACAGACAAAATTACAGACAAGCTCCTGTCTAAGCGTCGGCCCTGTTTATCAGGAAGTTCACTGGTGATGCTACATCCGTCCGTGGCTGGTTGTCCAAGAGGGCACAGTTGGCCTCGCTCTCTCTGGGTGGGTAGGATGCCCCCCCCGTCTCCACCCCATCACTCAGTGTGATGCTAGCCAGCGCAGGAGTCTCTTAGCTGCTGTAACAGAACTGGTGATTAGTGTTCTCCTCCAAGCGTGTTCAGCTGTTGACGTTGCATTAACAGCAGCTCGTAAAGATGTGGTGGAGCTTCACAGGTCTCGGAGGAAGCCTGTGTTCACCTTCGCCTTCCTAGAGCTGGTGGTATCATATAATTGGGGGAGTCCTAATTAGTGGGTGGAATTGGATACTAAATTGCGGAGAAAATTGAAAAAAAATACAGACAAAATTCAGGCTTCTAGACATGGCTGCACACAGGGCTTTAGGAATACCGAGCTTGCTAGCGGGGTCCGGGGGGCAGCTAACATTAATTCCATCATGTTCCTCTCTGTGAATCAAGTCCCAGGAGCCGAATCCACTAAGGAGAAATCAGCGACAACCAACACTGCAACTAAGTGATGGCGGAAAGGGTGTAAATCTGCGCTTTGACGCTGCCTGGGTTATTGAATTAAGGCGTTTAAGACTTTCTGACCCTTTCTGTTGTTCCAGCATGAATGTGTGCGCCAGTGGCCTGATTTATCAGACGGAACGTGAATTTAAGTTTGAGCAGAACTGGATGCAACACCAGCATCATGACAGCTCACTAGGGATGTGGACACACCTGATGTCTGAGGATGAACTGCACTGAACTTGAACAGTCTGCTAGTAAAATCCTAGTAATGTCTATCACACTTTGGCGGAAGAAGCTGCCTGTCCAGTTTGTTCACATAATCAATAAACCACCGTGTTGAGTAAAGACTGTGTAGTAGTGATGAGATCATTCTCTCCACTTACGGTAAAGCAATGACGCTGGTGATCAGATGAGAAAGCAGGCGTTGTACAACATCTTTGCAGCAGCAAATTAGATTTTTTAAGGAATTATTTGACATCTCTTATTTTATATACCTCAGAAAAAATTGAGGACCTCAGTGGCGGGTACAGCCGTGCTTACTTATTACCGATACTTAGGACATTTGGTCTCAGGGCGTCTGCTCTATTGTAATTCTAATAGCCCCATCAACCAATTTGGAGATCTGCCATTTGTTCTCACACCTCAGCCCCCTGAATCCACATTCACTGCTGGATCATGTAGACAGTCTGGGGTCTGACTTCACACCAGGCCACAAGGCCTCTGTTAGATCTGTATCTGTATAAAGCCTGTACTTCTCGCTGCACTGGCAGAGGACCCCTTCTGCTCTCCAGCATCAGAGCGGGAAGGTTTTCTCTCGGGTTGTCATATGTATCTGCAAATAAACCACATTTTTATCTATCCATGAGCGTTTACTGCAAAGTGCCCAAGCAACTGTGATCTAAGAAACAGTGTGTAAGGAAACCACATAAGTAAGTGAGAGCACTTATCAACTCGACATCGTCTGAGGCAAGTGGGTTAGGCATGAAGTTAGTATAATGCTAACTGGTAGGTGATAAGATTCTTTTACTTCTGAGCTTCATAAACAGGCATTCCGGCCAAAAACTGCAGTTTTATATGCTGTTTGTTGTCTTATGCAGTATTCTGTGGGGCACCACTGTGTCCTCCCTGATAGCAAGAGGATAGTGGACCACTGTTGGCCCGCTGATCCAATGGTGTTTTGCTCAGCGTTTTCTGGGCAGTCCACCGATGGTTAAGTAGAGTATTAGACAAAATTCCACTTATCGTCACTCATTCTCCACTCTCAGTCCAATTTACTGATTTTTCCTTCCTTCTTTTCTTTAGTTATACTTTATAAACTAGTAGTTTAGTTAGTAATTTCAATCTAGCACCTAGTCATTATTTTTTCTCTCTCAGTTGTTTGCAATATTTGTCTTAGTTTATTCTCTACAATAAAAGTACGTGTGCATTTAAAATCTGTTTGGGGGGGATAAAAAACTAGTTAGAGCATGTATGCAGGGTGGACCGCCAGTGGCGTATAGTTAGTGGGGTGCCGACCTTATCAAGCCAGCGGACTGATATATGCTTGCTATCTGGGCTTTAACCTCCTCAGATCAACAGAATTCAAAATTTTATGTTTTTGGTTCATCAATGTGCTAGCCACTGAGCTATAGGCTAGGGGTATGCAATATGTCAATATATATAATTGTTATTGAGATAAATTATGTCACAATACACTTTTCTGAGCATATTGTAGATGTTGTCAGTACTTAAAGTTAAGAAACACTGACTAACATTACAAAGTTAGCACTACTAGGCCATTTTAATTGGATTTAATACAGTGTAGTTAATGAAACATTGAATAAAAATCACTGTAGTTGTAGGCTTATTGTTATTATTATTACCTTCATTATGGTATTTTTTGTTTGTGGCACTACAGGTTCTATTTTCTCTGGTCCAACTTAATGTCAGAGAAACTAAATATCACGATGCATATCGAAAGTCTTGAAGTATCACAATATACTATTTTTTTATTGCCCAGCCCTACTATAGACTAATAAATACAAACAAGCTAGCACTAGAGTAACTCTTAACTCACACAGTGAACAAAATCATAAAGAAAACAATCTTTATTCAGCATTAAATGAGCACTTTTTCATTTTCAGAGGAAACCAGCCAAACTGAAGGAAAGTATCTAGACAGCCAAGCTACTTTTCGAACTTTAGCTGTTAGCTTCTTGTCCTCCTCATCTGAAGAGTCATTTCTGTGACTTGAACAATCATCTCCACTGTAATGATGATCTGAAGACAGTTACTACAGCTGCAGTAAGATGCTAGCAGTAACGTTAGCTATCGCGTTCCCTCTGCGGTCACCAACTAACAATAAAAACAAACATTTCAACACAGCCCCCAAAACATCCACCCCAAAACAGCTGTAGTAATTCCATCACCCCTCAAGAAACATCATCAGACGGGGGTTTTCCTAGTCTTTAAAAGGATTTATATTTATATTTACAACTCATGTAGCTATGGTTAAATCTTTAGCTTCAAGTTCCCAAGGAGCAGCCTTCAGACACCAAACATGCTTTGTCTGCAGGGGGGTATCACTGAGTGATCACAGGTCTGCCCAATCAAACGAGGAAAGAGTATTCATTAATCTGCACTTTTTAAGAAATGTTGTTTTCTGCGAGTGCTGCCACTGTAACTGGGTCAATAGAATCATCATGCTCTCCGCATCATGGCTGAATATACGAGGTATAGTCCAACTGTCCACTCCCAAGCTTCGCCTAATGTTATTTGCCCTCCAGTGACAGCTTTGCAATCGTTGCTATCCACCACTGCCTCAAACCTTCAGTTCTTTATCAGCATGCTGGTGCTTTGAATTTGAAGCTCTAGCGGTGGTCAAAAAATGAACCTGGGGTCTCTTTTGCTACAAAAGCTGAAATAGACTGTCA